CCACCTTCAAAAGACCCTGCCCCCATGACCACATGAAGCTTTCAGGGACATCCAAACACAAACTATAACAATTCCTATATTTTGATCATATTCGGTCCCCAAATGGAATTGTTTTTCAGAAATCTTTCAGAAATATGTCATAGTTTTTCTTTGTTTGTCAAAACCAATGCTTCACATAAAATCCATCTATTTACATTAAGTATCACTGACAGTAACTTGACAACCTAGTCAAATGAACTAAACTCTAAAAATTGGCATTGATAAGTACACAAATAATTACAGAACAGATTAAAATTTCCTCAAAATGAGGCCTGAGATTATTTAGCTAATTGCAGTTCCTGGAAGACCTACTGATAAAAATGGGAGAGAATGTAGCCAAGTGATTCACAAGAGAACTCAACAACATTGTCAGCTCCCGACATAGTTAACAAAATGCAGTTTTAATCCTGCTCCCAAATGAGGATAATCAAAGTTTGGAGTTGAGTTGTACCCAGGAAGGCTGAGAAAGTTTAGCTGTGGGCTGGTACAGAAGCAGAGAACCCTCCCTGGGCACCGGTGGTTCCAGTGGGGAAAGTCACAATCTACTGGGAAGGGGACAGGAAGAGAAGGGAAGAAGGAGGGGAAGGGGTTTGGACACAAAACAAGGCTTTGCTTGAAAAATGGAGAGACCCCTTAGGAAAGAGGAAAATAACAAGATTTTATTTACTCATCAAATTTCAAGGCAGCGCATGCTTTTTGATAAAGCCATTGGCTTTTATCCACAGCTTTGCTGCACAGTCCTTACACCGGGGACAGAATCACCCGTCATCTAACGATGGTGTTAGAATGCAACCAAGGAGATTTGTGCTTTTTCCATGTATTCAGTAGAAAGCAGGAATGGAAGGAAAGGAGGGAGGAGGATGAGGTGAGAGTAGTCATTCATGAAACGACAAACATGCTTCATGTTTGAATTACCTTTAACTGGAGTTGCAAGTACATTATCCCAATGAAAGGAAAAGATGTAAATTAGGCAAAAGATAACGATGCCCTGAGTGAAATGAACAGATAAGGCTCAAGGTCATCTGAACAGAGTCAGAAGCTCCAGGTACCAACTCTCCCCTGCTCTGCACCCTGTCCAGATTCTCAGCTCCGTTCTGCCCTGCTCTGGGAGCCAAGGTGAGGGTCTTCTGGTGCACACAGTGAGGAGGGGAGAGCAGGATGGGTCTTTCTGTCCTGTTTTCTCCTAGTGTTGGTTTCCAGCAATGATTGTGTCCCTGTAAGACAGCAAGTCCTCCAAAGTTCCTGAGCTGGGTTCTCCAAACTCTGGGACCACCATTTCTGCCCCAGGCTCTTCCAACCCTGGAGGAGGACACTGTGCTCATTTCTGGTCATCTCATCCGCTCTGCTTGCTTTTTTTGGATTCACTGCGACCCCTCTGAGTGGGACTGTTTCCATGAGATCCTGAAGGTGTAGTGAAACCAGAAACACCTCAAACTTGCCAGGCCTCAGGAAGCTAACGTTTCTAGTTACCTGGATGATTGCCACACCAATTATTATTAACAAAATTGCAAGAAAATAGGCTGCAGGAATGCTAGGTACCAAAGATCTGAAGAAATGAATCAAAATCCATTAGGATTAATTATATCAATCACACACTCTTATAAGCACCTCAGCCACCTGCTGCTAAATGACACATTCCAAACAGACTTCAAGAATTTCTCAGGACTCACTACATCATGTGCATTACATTGAGTGATTTATTAAACTTTCAGTAGGTCAGTGCCATGATTTAGAGAACAGCTTACATAATACAGATGCCAGTTTTCACACACAAAAAAATGGACGTGTTGTTTGGCTCTTAGAAAAAGTGCTGCATATTAAAAAGGCCCTGAACTCAGCTGTCTGCTGTATCTGATGTGTAAATGTTTATCTCACTGTAACAATGATGACACCCAGGGCTGTGCCCAGCGGTCAGTAAAAGGGACTATAAGGCACTGTTTTCAATAATTTTTATGCCCTTTGGTGGAGGACAATGTAATGTGAGAAAATGTAACATTTCTATAGCTTTTGATGTTTTTGTTTTGATTTTTTAGTTCTGGTCCATTCTTTTTTGTAGGTGGGGCTTGGCATTGCACATTAAGTTTTGGAGAGGCTTGCAACTTGGAAATCTATTGGATAGACCCGAATTAAGAACAGAGAGCGATAAAGCTGAAGGCTGAGAATTAAAATGCCCTCGAAGCCTTCTGGAGGCGCCCAAGGGTGGGAAGCCTGAGGAAGTGAAAGAGACCCAGGGGGGCGAAGATGTGGCAGCTGCTGAGCTGGGGTCAGTGTTTGTGAACTGCTTTTTTTTTTTCTCCTGGCAATTCCTCTACTTATATCATCTCTGGGACTGGTAATCCATTTAGGAAGATTTTCTCCCAGGAAAATCTTGTCACCAAGCGAAAGAGGACAGGGTTTCAGCAAGGCATCTCTCCAACAGATGACAGTAACACGCACGCGGTCTGAAAGGGACCGGACCTCTCTTTGCTGTTAACACCTTTCTCCTCTCCAGGCTCCACCGGAGCTTTGCGCTGGCAGCACTGCCCCCTAGTGTTCTCTCGCCTTGGTGCAATGTAAGTGAGGAAAACAGATTTTTCAATGTATGCGACTGTGCTGATCTGTAATTTCCTGCACGCGAACGTATCTTTCTGTAAACGAGACATTGGATTACATTTATTTGCCTTGATAAACTATCAGAACATGCTAACGTGGCATAATTTTTCATAAATGAGTAAAAACTGAAGGAAAACTTTAGTATCATTGAATTAGTGAACTGAAAAACATTACCTAGTATTTCTGAGTGCCTGTTACACTAGGCTTGTAAAAAATGTCAAATTAAAAGTCTGAGCAAGCTTAATTCTGCACTTGACTTTAATGTTTCTTATATTTGGAGCACTCCTATGATCTCTACCTCGAGGGAAATAGTAAAGTTGGGGGAAAGGATTTAAAATATTTACGTGCAGAATTCGGTTCTGTATTGTTTTATTCAAAAAAAAGTCTTTTAAATCACATCAGTTCTCATGAGATATAGGAGTGCTCTTTGATGCTTTAGAACAAGTGAATTTAAAACAAACCCTTTCAGTGTATAGAGATGATAATTATGGATGCATTTATCTGAGAAAATTTGAGATAATTAAATTTCCAGATTTTTAAAAATGTAATAATTTCAGGAGAGATAAATTGAATACCACTGTTTCCCACAGAACAGTTCACTTACTGATGGTAAGAGAATAAATTACTTTAAACAATGCAAATATCTATGCTTTTAATTGCTGTGCAATTACTATAGTAATTGATTGTGAAACTATAACTGATACCAAATCTACGGCTTCATCTATGCTCATGTTTGGTGTCAGTGTACAAAGAAGTTGTAGAGCTCATTAGTCTTCAGCCACCTAGGCTCTGCCTTTTAAGTGATTTAGAAATAAAAATTTCTAAATTTCTAGCCCTAACTTCTAGACTGTACAGTTTCCATCTTTGAACATGTTCCTCTGTCTCATGGACCACCTGTGAGTGACAGCTGTGCTGTCCAGCCAGACAGAATACAGTATGAGTCACAAATATAATTTATAATTTGTTATGATTTAATTCATTATAATTTTATAATACATATAGAAGAAATAGTTGCAAGTAACGCGAATAATATACTTTATTTAACAGCATATCCAGAATATTATTTTTAATCAAATTTAAAGCTATTGAGATAGTTCATCTCCTCTCATTTTTCACTATGCAGTATCAGTGATGGTGAACCTTTTACAAACGAGTATCCAAACTGCAACCCCAGGTCCACATATTCATTGCAAACAGCCACACTGCATTTAAATCTGAATACTTAAGTTTTAGTTCAGAAAGAACAACTAAGACGTCAACATCTTTTGTCATCAAAGAGAGACAACACTCCTGCCCTAAGTTTGCCGGCACTGGGATACTTCTACAAAGAATAACACCCCCTCCGCTGTTTGGCTCTGCACAATAGTTCGTGCAGGGGAGGCAGAATCAGTTGTTTGATCTCTTTCCTTTACTTGGCAGATTTTAAAATAATAATTTTTGCTTTCCTTGCATATTTAAAAGCACAATCACTGGCCATTTTATTTCATAATAAGGTTAGGAGTTCGTGAATTGATCGATGAGCTTCCTGGCGCGCCAGTGATTGTTTTCGGATGTTCCCTTCTCCGGCTGCCGGTAGCGTCTCTAACCTGCCACCGGAGTGCTGGGGTCAGTCGCGGGGGCAGCCTGAGCGTAGGCTCAGGCCCTGCAGGCTCATCCTGGCGCTTCCCGCCGCGGACCGGCAGGGGGCGCTGCTCCAGAGTCGCGCTGGGCGGGGGGGCTGGGTGGGAACGCGGGGAGAGGGCGGGACCCCCGTGCGAGGGGCGGAGCGGGGAACAAAATGAGGCGACGTCTGTTTGCATAAAATCACTGTAACCACAGTTCGTCATGGTTCATACTCTAATTCAAGCGTGGAGGATTCTTTTCTTGCTTTTTAAATTTTTTTTAAACTGCTTTTTCTTGCAGATTTCAGTCTTTGAACGACGCGGGCGTGATCGCTCATTTGCTTTATGTACCGCACACACACGAGCCGGTCTCGGGACACCCAGCCCTCCCCACCCCAGGCGAGGGGCTCCGGAGCGCAGGCGGGCGCTGGGGGCACAGCACCGGGCTCGGGGGCTCGGGACCTCGGGGCCCCGCGCCACCTGCTGGACGGATACACGGTTTACAGCGCTCTGCCTCGAATTTCAAGACAAATTACCTCAGATCACTGTCTCCTTTCTCCTAATTCTTTCCTCTACCTGTAATAGTTTTACTTTAAAATGTTACGCTTTATTTATCTTTCCATTTATCCAAGAGAGGGGAGAGGAGATAAAACATACAGGTACATATTAATTTTATGTATTTATATATTAAAAATAGTCATATATTAGTTATATATTATAGCCACATGTTATATATTAATATATAGCTATGTATTATATGTAGTTATATATTAATATATAGCTACACACAATAATATAATCATATAATTAATAGTCATATATATTAGTTATATCAATTATCTATAGCTATTTACCAATATACATTTATATATTAGTTACATAGGTATATTCTGGTTAATACATTGTGTCAACTTGAAAAGTTTAGCAGTTTTACTGAGACACTCAGCAGGAGCCGGGATGCTCATCCTGTGCAGGAGGAGGGCACGGAGACTTCGTGAGCGCTGCACCGCCCTGCGGGGCGTGGGCTGGGACAGTATAAGGGAGGAGAAGAGGCTGTTTTTGTCTCCTTGTGTTCTTGCTGCCGCCTTGAAGTGCTCCTCCAGTGCCACACGACCCTGCCTTGGAGCCAGCTGATTACGGACTGAAACCTCCAAAACTGTAAGATCAATTAACCTTTCCTTCCCTAACTTTGGGCAAAGGTATTTTGTCTCAACAAGAGAAAAGTAACCAAGACAAAAATATTAATATATAGTTTATTAAAATATTAATATATAGTTTTATTAAAATATTAATATATAGTTACATATAGTTCTATATAATATACATTAGTTATAGATAACTCTATATTAATATGTAGTTATATACAATATGTAGTAATATATATTAATTATATATAGTTCTAAATTAATAGTTATATGTTATGTATTAATATATAACTACACAAAAATAATTAACATTAATATATAGTCATATATAATTAATGTATAATGTATTAATAGTCATATATTATCTATATTACTTACAGTTATTTATTAACATATAGCTATATATTAGTTATATTTAGTTATATATTAATATGTAACTACACAAAGTTAATATATATCTGTGTATTTTTACTTCCTCTTCCCTCTATTGGATAAAGACTTTCCTCCACTTGGAAAATACATACTCATTATTATGTCAGGCAGAGGAAAGGTGGCTGTGTGTAACCTACAGTGCTGAGTTTTGCTTAATAGGTAATATGAAAATTGGTTTTTAATAGGCAAATTAAGATAAATTTAATGTGTGGATTTGTTGATAAGATGTATGTAGCTGGCCCTTGATTTTATCATTTTTATGTTACCCATATTTCTATCTACAGTGGTACTTGGATTCAAGAATGCTTTTGTTTTTGAACAGTTTGTTTGCCAAACAAAAATGTTTGACAAAAGTTTGTCTCCATTTGCAAAGTACACTGGGTGACGAACAGGACTGTGGTCAACTTTTCTGCACAAACACCTCTTCTCCAAAATCGTGGAGCAGCTTAAGTTTATGAATCGAGTGATTACACACAAGTACCACAGGCTCCAGGCTATCACTATCGACCGTCTCTGCCTCTGTGCACGCACTGAAAGCCTCAGGCAGGTCTTGGTACTACCGGGGGCTTATCCGACCCCACGTATCTGGAATACAAATCCTTGGTCCACACAGCTGGGTTTCCACCCCTCTTTATTATGTTGTCTGTGGGGTTTTGCTTTTGTATCTTCCTCGCTGTGTTTCCTTGTGTTCTAAAGGGAGGTTAAAAAGATTTTCCCACCTTTTACAATTTTCCAGGTGAATTTACGTAGTTAAATTTGTCTTTTTTGTTTTGATTTACAGTGGAGCTACGTCTCAATAAACCTACCTGGAGTTGAAAACCGTGTTGTCTGAGGAAGCACTTGGAGGCCCTCACCCCTCTGACTCCCAGGCACAGCCTAACCCACCTGGAAGCACTCACGGATGCACCTCATTAGCCTACAGATTGGCAAACCATCTCACCCCAAGTCATAGTAACATGTGGAATATCCCATACAGTCTATTAAATACCAGATGCATGGACAGGAAAACTGGTATGGCTGGAAAAGTATGCTTTTTGGACCCTGTAAAGTTGTATAACTCTATACCCAGCCCTCAGACAGCCAGGCGTGTGGCATGTGAATGTCATGGTCATAGGGATGTCCACACCTATGGGCACCTAAGGCTCACTGGGAAGCATCTCCTTGGCTGGTCCACAGATCTGTCTGTGTCTTGTTACTCTCCTGCATCCTCCCCTGTGCAGACTCTGCACTGGTGTCCTCCACCACTGTCTGAATGTCCTGGTCATGGTGCAGACCATGAATGGCCCCCAGAGGCCCTGGGGCACAGGCTTGGCTCTACCAGGAGGCAATGGGATTTCCAGAAAGTGATGCCTGGTGGGAGATCTGTGGGCCACGGGGCCAGGACATTGAAGGAGACTGCACAGCTCCAGCCCAGACCCATTCTTCTCCTCTCTTTTCTCCCTGGCCGTGAGGTGAGTGAGCGGTTTTGCTCCACCATTTGCTCCATGAGAGGGCCAAAAGCAAGGGGTCCAAGTGATCAAGGGGTTTGTGAAAGTCTCCCAGGCTGAGAACCAAATGAATCTTTTCTTTTCCTAAGAAAATGGTCGCCATATGATAGAGCCCCACTTAGAAGCCTCGGAGGCAATGGTGACTATAGATGAAGTGCGATTCGAATCTGGGTGCCCTGTAGGACACGGGTCCCATCTTTTGTTTGAGCAGCAGCCCTGCCCTTTTCCCCCCACACACCATTGCTTTGTTCTGCTCTGAGAATGTGCTTTGCTTCCCTCACACCCTTAAGCCCTGCAATGCTCCTCCATTCTTGTTATGGTTTGTGTCTCATTGTTTCCCCAAAGCCTCATGCAGTCCTGAAGGCAGCTGCGTCTATCGTTTGTGATTGGTTGGTTGTCTAGCGCTTGGATTGGCAGTGTGAGTGCTGCACCAGCCCAGGGGCAGGGGTGGCATACGATATAAGGGAGGGAAGGAGGTGTGCTTTGCACTTCTTGCTTTTGTTACCTTGGTACCTGCCTCTGCCATGAATGGCTGCCCCTGTGCCATGCCACCCTGCCTTGGAGCCAACTGATTATGGACTAAAATCTTCACAAACTGTGAGCTAAATAAATCTTTCTTTCCTTAATTTTGGGTATTGGATATTTTGCCCCAGCAACAAAAGAGAAGTAACCAACACAGTCCTAAATGCCTTTCCTTGGCTTCATCTGGGAAACCTTGTGATAGGGCATGAACGGTAGTGATGCCCACCTGTTCTCTTGTGGTGTCACCTGTTCTCCACACTCCTCTGCCATGTATCTAAAATGCACAGATAAGCTTAATTACTATAAGAAAAATAAAGATTTCAGATTAAATAATTAACTATGTAAAACAAAACAAAACAACACAAACTCTGCTTGCAACCCTGTCCTTGGAAACTGGGATGCCCAGCTGGTGGCCCTGTTGTCCAGTGTCACTAATCTGTTGTGAGCTGCTTTAGCTGGAGCAAGCATCACAGACATCCTTGGTTTCTACTCTAGTGTAGCTGTTGCTAGGACAACAACCACACCAGCAGCCACTTGTCTACCTATTACACATTCATTCATTCATTCATTCATTCATTCATTGGATTCATTCAACATTCATCCATTCACCTCTCACTCATATGTAGTTGCCTAGTGATTCACACACACTCAAATAGATCCCAAAAGAGGAATTGAGCACTAGTATCTAGAATTCTCTTAGATATTGGGATGAAAAGGAGGAAGGACAAGACACGGTACATTTAGGTAGTGGACAGAAATTTCCTGAGTTTGTGTAGACAGATCAAATCAAAATGATAACTTTGAATCTCCGCCTCCAACATTTCTCTTTTCAGAGGAAAAGTTTCTCAGGCTTCACAGGGCAGGAAGAGCCACCCAAAGACCACATTTGTGTCACTGTTGCTCTAGGATGCGTCTAACAATCACGAAATTAGCAAACACCAGATTCCTTAAAAGTGGCCAGTTTGTAGCTTTAGTTTATGGTACCTGTTAAATATTTTACAGTGACTTCAGTGAATCTACCTGTAATTCTGGCCTGAGTAATTTATTCCCTGAATTTGATTATCTTGTGGTGAAACACTATTTTGCTTAAATGGTTATGTTTTGATCTGCGCTGTTTTGTTGTTATGCCCTCTTTTATCTCAATCTCCATTTTATTTACTTTTTAATTTTTATCCTTTTAATTAAGGGAAAAATAAATTAAAAAAATAGTAGGATATATTATAGTAACCCACTTTGATTTACTATTAACTTGATTTGAAGCCCTGTATGCTCTCACCATCTTGTTTAGACTGATGTTCCTCTATTTGTTTTGCTTGATAGTACCAGGTTCGAAAGTTTAGGCAACAGCTGTGAAGATAGTGGGATTCATTATGACGCCCATTCTGGTTGACTATTATCTGTTTTTGAAGACCTGTAATATCTCCAATGTCTTGGTTTTGTTGGTTTCATTCTTTACTGTTTTGTTCAATTTTATTATAACTGATGATATAGGCAATTCTATTAGAGATAGCGGGAGGCATTATGGTAACCATTGTTGATCACCTTGTATTATGCTTTTACATTATCTATTATGTCCACCCTTTTGATTTGATTGACTCTGTTCTGTTCTGTCACATTTGGTTTTACTCTCTTCCAAAAAAAGTAATAAGAACCGTGGGAGCAATAAAACCCAAAATGTATAATAGTCATTGTACAAAAGAGAGGAAAAGAAAGTGCTCTAAACGATATACCTGCATGTATATTTAAGTGTATAAGACAGACAATATTACAGAGTTTTGTTGGATCATTGAACAGAACTGTTTGATCTCACTGTTTGAATCGCCACTATATAAGCTTTCATTTTGTAACTTGAACAAACATTTCTAAGATGACAATATGTAATCCATTAACTAGTGATTTCCTACTGTTTATTTTTTTTTCTGAAATTCTGTATAACTTGTACCCTTTTTCTGCTTTTTTTCTTTTTCTCCTTAAATAAAATTAAAAAAAAATTTATTCCCTGAATTTGATCCAGAAACTACTTATCATGATCAACATGTTTGTATAGTTCTATGCTGTCAAGGTGAATTAAGAGCATAACAACTAGAGTGCGATTGTGATCCTAGACTAACGTGATGATTTTTGATCTGTGAAAGACTGAAAATTAAAACTGTGTATGTGGCTCTGCTTGGAGGGAATAGTGAGGCCAGATTTGTTCTGCTTGCTCTGGAAGTTTTCCACCCTATTTTTTCCCTGTAGTATTGATATTAAACCCAGGCCCTCAAACAGTGCTTTGGTACTGGGGATTGAACTCACAACCTTGGATCTGGATTTGCAGTCCTCCTGCCTCGGCCTCCCAGGGTGCTGGGATTACAGGTGTGTACCACCAATGGCCATTACTCAGCCTATTTATTTATTTTTGAGACAGGGACTCACTATGTAGTTCAGGCTGGCCTTGCACTCACTATGTAACCCAGACTGGCCCCATACTTGTGGCAATCCTCCTGCCTCTGCCTCTTTAGTGCCAGGATTAGTGGCATGCGCCACCACACCCAGATTTACGCAGCCCATTTTTAAGAGCCATTCTAGCCTGCCTTGTTTTTAAATTACAAAAAATAGCAGTGAATCACAGCATAGTCATTATAATAAGCCAAATCTGGACAATAATGTGTCCAGCACTGGGTCCTCGTTTTCTGCCACTGGACATTAGAAATACTGCCAATCAGCTGTGTGAGAGCTGCCTCCTCCTCCTCATGCCCAGCTGGGTACTGGCGCCGCCCAGGCCAGGCTCTCGCAGGAGACCATCGGTTAGCGCTCACTCTGACTGGAGTGCATCTGGCTTTGCCTTTGGTCAGCAGCACAGTCAGCCTTTGAAGTGTGCGCTGCTCACCTCTTCCTGAGAGCACTTCACAGGAATAACAGATACGGAATGACGGGTGTTTGAAGGACCGTGGTCAGTGCATTTCCTGACTGCGAGCTCTATGGATGGATGGAAAGCTCTGAAGCTCGCCCTAGGAAATGGATGGAGAGCCTACACCACAGTGATGTTTGCAGCCCGAGCTGTGCCCTGAGCTCCCCGGGAGGACGCGGCCCATCACGGTGAGGGGCTTCGGGGCTGGCCTCCCAATCAGCTGGTAGTGAGGCCACGGCACCGTGGTGCAACGGGGGTAAGCGCTGTGTGGTGCAAACAGCACAAAGTCCTGTGACCCGCGGGCACTGCCCGGCCAGCAGTGGGCTTGTCTGCGGGGTCTTCAGTCTGGAGACGGAGGCCCGTCCGGCCTAGGTGTCAGGAAAAGCTTTGCTTCACTGAACAATAGAGTACTTTTATTATATGCGTGATATAATATTCCGTTTTCCTTTTTCCTTTGGCTTTTATGAAAATTAGCTCAACTTTAGAAATTATGCAGCATAGCCATAAAAAATTCATCATATAGTGATACTAATTGTAATTTATATCTTGATCTATCAACCAATGGCTGCCTTGATCTAAAAATTCCTTATAAGTCACTCTAAATCTTTGTGAAACAAAACAAGATGTATAAAAACAAACAAATATCTATTTATCTCAATATTTTAGATCTCTCATACAAAAATACCTCTCATTCATCTTCAGAAAATTCATTAATTTTACAACTTTAAGATCAAAAAGTAACAAATTTATGCTATGAACAGATTAAGTATCTAAGTAAATACATTTTGCATCCTCCCCTTTCACATATCCTCTCTTTAGAATGTCTGGAAAACATGTTTTTCCTTATAGAAGATATTTAGTCTTGAATTTTTTTATATACTTAAATATAGGAAGCCAGAACAGACATTTTGAAATAATATAACCAATATAAACTTACTCTGGCTTCTAGAGTTCATTCATTTTTAACAGAAACTAATCGTAAATTCAAATCTCTTCTCTAAAGCATTCCCAGCCTGTTATCATGGCTGCCAGTGACCCAGTTCCCAGTTATCTTCAAATTTTATCTTTCCCGGTTCTCCACAACTCACAGATAATGTAATGTAAGTGTGGAATAACTCTGATACAAAGTTATATGGAAAACAGGTGGCTGGAGCAGCTGGCTACATGGATAATCTTGTATATATTCTCTGGGAGAAGATTCTGGAAGCATCTAGAAGCTATAACCAACGACACTGTGAGGTGACTGCGGTGGTGACCACGAAGGAAGTTTCAGTTCTCATATTAATCTTTGCAAAACCCCTTTTTAAAAAATGCCTTATATGGTCTTTATATTGTTATTGCTCAAATTCAATCTGAAGCACACTGGTTTCAGAACCTGAAATTCCACTGACTGAATTCGGGAAACTTTCTCAGGCTCTGGGCCTGGGCCAGCTTGGGTGAGCAGAGCTAAGAGGCGTCTATGTATGTGGCTTGCACAGGCTGGGCAGCGACTCACTACCGTGTGCTCCCTGGGAAGCTATCTAGTTCCTCTCTAAGCCTCGGTTTCCTCAGACGTAGAGCAGGGTAACAACGCTGTCTTACCATCAAATTTGCTGTGGAGATCACAGGCAGTGGCTTGTGTGAAGTGCGTGGAATGCACTAAATGTTCAATAAATGCGAGTTCTCTCCTTTACATTTCAGTCCCCGGCAGTGTTTCCAAGTGATGAGGAGGAGATGAGGAGTTTTACTGAAATCACATCTCAGTAGTTAAGATTCAGCGATATGTAATCTAAATTTGAGTCACACGGGCTGCGCAGGCAGCAAAATAATGAAACAAACAGCCTGAGTGAAAACCTCGGAATCTCATATGCGATCTCCACATCTTTCCCTCGACCCCCTTCCCTAAGCCACAAAGGAGACCAGGACAGGAGCTTAGTGTAGGTTTGTGTGTGTTCTGTTGGCAGAAGGGTCCTCCAAGTGTGGAGGATGGTGGCTTTGCAAAGACCGAGGTCTCAATGTATAGCTGACAAATTCAACTGAATAGTGGGAAACAGAACAAGGAAATTCTGGTTCGTGACACCCCGGCTTTTCCTAGAGCTCAGGGGTGAGAATTATTATTTCTAACAAAACAATCGAAGGAAGTCTTTACTTTTCCACCACTGAAAAGATGCTACACCTTCACTGATTTTCCTCACACCCATACTAACACCCACCTCAAATTTCTAAAACCAAAAA